GAAGAGACTGGACAGCCATTTGTCTGAAATGGTATAGGGTTTCCTGCCTGAGCAGGGGGTTGGACTAGATGACTTCCAAGGTCCCTTCCAACTTTATTATTATTATTATTATTATTATTATTATTATTATTATTATTATTATTATTATTATTATTATTATTATTATTATTATTATTATTATTATTATTATTATTATTATAAATATAACATGAGCAAAGCAATCCAGAAAACTGCAGCCGTCTCATGGATGGCTAGATTTTTGCAGCCCCCCTTCTGTTCTATTCTCATTAATTAAAGATGCTGTTAACACAAGTAAACTTAACCTGTAAGATTTTACAGGGGTGTCTGGAAGGCATGGTGAAAAAAAAGATGGAGAATGTGGGTCACATTGATGTGGTCAAAGCTGCCTGCTTTTTATGTGCAACGAACATTTAAAAATTCTGCAGAGCCTTTAACCTGTAATTACCATCTTGAGTTTTTTTTTGACCTGTGGACCCCTGTAAGATTATTTTATACAGGTAGAAACTTAATGTTTAGCTGACTCGAACTCTAGATCTGGAGAGTCCGGGCACATATTAATTCACCTATTGAAAACCCTTGTTGTCTATCACTCTTGGCCAATAAAGTAGTCTATTCTAGTCTAAACGGTCTCTTGCTTAAAACTGGCTTACAACAGCACCCCCTTGTGACCAGTGGAGGCAGCACTATTTCTGTGGCAAGGAAGACATTTTTGGACTTCCCGGGACCTCGTTACAAAATGGTCCTGTTTTTCACTCGAGGAGATGAACACCCCGTTCTTCTCCTTTTGCTGGGGAAAAGACGAATCAATTGCACGGTTCTAACTTTCTTTCTTTTTTTTTTAGGCTCACCCAAACCCACCCCGAGGTACTTCCGGGCAGGACCGACCCCGTTACCTTCACCGGCGAGCAGAACGGCAGACACGGAGCAAAGTGGCTGAGCGAGTCCCGCCTCAGCTGGTTGTGGACCCTCTCTGGCACTTGCGGGAGATCGTTGGGCCAGAACTGCCGCACGCTGATGAGCTCCAGGCCCAGCGAGTCGGCGAAGCGGACCCTCTTGCGAGTCCCGGGGCTACGGCTGCGGGACGCACCTCCGCTCCTACCCTGTGCAGGGGCAGAGCGAGTCCGGCGTCTTCCCCTCCTTTTGGGTCCCCTGAAGAGATGGCGACGTCTCTGGGGCCTGCTTCGCGGCCTGCCTTCGGACTCAGATTCGGAGCCTTCGGTTCCCGAATCCTCGGCAATGCTCGGACGGGCTGTGCGATAATAGGCCCTCTCGTACAAGCCCGCGATGTAGCTTAAGTTGCGGGGGATGTTGCTGGGGGTCAAAGGGGAAGGCGGAGCACGGGCCATAGAAGCAAAGTTGCTGACCCCCCCTTCTTTCCCTACGGCCCAGTTCACTTGTCCCGTCCAGTCGATTATGATCTTTTAGGGGGGGGTTACCTTCCAGGATTACCTTTTTCAACCCTTCCACGAGACTCGTCCTTCTCTCAGGATGCTTGGGGGTCGTGTCCTGTTTCTCCTCGGGGGAGGAAGACTTCCCCTTTGATCATTCTCTTGCCCCTCTTCCAACCTTTGTAGCTCCAAGATCTCCACGTATCCCGTTACATCCTTGGATCGCAGGTTCTTGAGTCTTCTTGCCGTACGGGACTCTACAAGTGCTCTGCTTCTTCACAGGAATTTACACGGGTGGGTGGGGAGGCATCAACGCCGCTCTTTGTCATCAACGGACTCTCTTCTCCCATTGAGTCTTCTGCCTGGTTCCTTTCTAGGAGGAGAAAAGAGGAATTGTTAGCACAAGATCTGTTACTCATAATAATAGGACCTCTCCGTCAGCGTATATGTCATATGTCTGCCTTATCTCTGCTTTTGGTCCTTTCGCGCCGGTTGTCTAAGCTGAGATTGCCCTCTGCCTTTGGGTTCTCTACCTCTCCTGAGCTTGCTGACCTCTTAGGCAGATGCCGAGTCTCCAAACACCCTCTCCCTTGGGGGTCTATTGATCCAACGGGGGGTGGTCTTTGCCTCTTGCCAAGAGCCCCATCATTGTTTTCTGTCACTCAGTCCCACCAACTGCCTCGCTCTTCTGGCTCAGTCCTTTTATAGCTCCTCCGGAGCCTGCCCCGTCCGTGCGAAAGATGTGTTTTCTTTGAGAGCTTGCGAGCGGACGAGCTTTTTGGATCCGGTCCAGCCACAGGTGACTCAAAAATTACTCGAACTGCCTATCCTATCTTGGAAAGCCGGTCGTCCAGTTTCCGACGGATCGATGCTCGGGCGAGGAATCCTTGCAAGAAATCCCACAATCGCACCCAAAACGAGAGCGGAGAAAGAAAGATTTCTGTTTACGAGACTCTGAAAAGACTTTATGACTTTCTGGAAAGAGAGAGATCCAAAACTGCCAGGGACAAAATGTCTCTTTAAAAGAGATCCATGCCCAGAAATGTTTCCGCAGAGATGAATAATTCAGAAGATCAAATGGGAGTTAATGCAGTGTCAGAGATATGGAAAGGAGAAAACCTCACACTGTTTGAGGAAGGGAGCGGACTGAGAAGTGGGGTCATTGACGTCGATCAGTTTAGAAGCAGAGGTCAGAAATGAGATCCTGGAATTGGGGGGGGGGTAGTTTTCCACGTTGGCCTGAAGGGTAAAGAAGAGACCATCTCCAAGCTCCTCAAGACATCCATAAACTTCGATGATAACAAGAGGTGTTGGCTTGGCTTGGCCATTAACTAGGAACTTCTGTTTATGTCTGAATCATTGAGTTTGATTCGTCCGGTCATGAATAATGAAAGCCCATCTTGATCCGCTGAAATTCCCTTGAGCTCTTCCTCATGCAGCATAAAAAGGGCTGAGCTATCCAATTAAAAAAGAAGAGAAGGAGGGGGGGAGTCTCTTTTCTCTGATGGAAATGGACCAACTACCTCAAGTCCACCAAATCTAGCCGGTCAAATCAGGAGGAGAAACGTTAGGGCAACTTCAGAAAGATAACCGAATCCGGCTGTTTCGTTCTGTCGGTTAAACTCTGGAGCGATGTACAGAGTTCCTTGGCTGTGCTACCATCTATGGTAGTAGCAGCTTTAAGACGGGTGGACTTCAACTCCCAGAATTCCCCACGCTGGCTGGGGAACCAGCTTTAAGACGGGTGGACTTCAACTCCCAGAATTCTCCATGCTGGTTGGGGAATCCATTTTAAGACGGGTGGACTTCAACTCCCAGAATTCCCCACGCTGGCTGGGGAACCAGCTTTTAGACGGGTGGACTTCAACTCCCAGAATTCTCCATGCTGGTTGGGGAATCCATTTTAAGACGGGTGGACTTCAACTCCCAGAATTCCCCATGCTGGCTGCAAAGCCAGCTTTAAGACGGGTGGACTTCAACTCCCAGAATTCCCCACGCTGTCCGGGGAACCAGCTTTAAGACAGGTGGACTTCAACTCCCAGAATTCCCTGTGTTGGCTGGAGAACCACAGGCCTGCATGTGCTCATGTACCCAATCATAAAAGATGTCACATTTGAACCCAGGATCTCTTCCCTCTTAGACAAGTCCTATCTATCCACAGTCCTAGCAAGCCTGGGTCTTCCATATGGATGGTCCTCAACTTACAACTGTTTGTTTAGGGACCTTTTGAAGATCAGCAAGCCTTTTTTCTCCTTTGAGGCAAAGCCCTTTGTGCAAAAAGCAGCTTATTCACAAAACCCCGCAGTAGAAATATTATTCTGGAAGTCCTTGAAGACACCTGCAAATATTAAGAAACACAGGCCGTCCTCAACTTACGACTACAACGGAGCCCAAGGTTTCCATTGCTAAGTAGGACGGCTATTAAGCGAGTTTTGTCTCATGTTTACGACTTTTCTTGCCACAGCTGTTAAGGGAATCATTGCAGTGCTGAAAGAAAAAAGCTGGTTCAGTTCCAAGCCGGGAGTGAATAAAATGGAGGCTAAGATGCTGGAAATAAAAAATGGAGGCTGCTGAGGAAGGGTTTTTGTTTACTGAGGAGCAGAACCAGCAACGGCATGTAGTTCTGGGACAGCTGACAAAATGGAGCTGAGAGCGGGTGGGTTTTTATACCTCCTTTGGGACTTTGTGTTTGAGATGCCTCTTCCTGTGTCCTTTATTATGGTAATGGCTGCTGCCAGATTCCTATGGGGTCATGTAGGGGGTCATGGCTGGCCCTTCAGGGGAAATGCAAATCCTAGGTGTTTGTATGAGTTAATCTTGTCAACTTTTGGCTTGCCTAATTGCGTTGCTTATCTGGAATAGAATAGAATAGAGCTGGGACCGTGGAGGTCTTCTAGTCCAGCCCCCTGCTAAAGCAGGAGAACCTATACCATCTCGGACAAGTGACTGTTTAGCCTCTTCTTAAAAATCTCCAGTGATGGAGCGCCCACGATTTCTGGTGGCAAACTGTTCCACTGGTTAATTGTCCTCACTGTCAGGAAGTTTCTCCTTAATTCCAGGTTGCTTCTCTCCTTGATCAGTTTCCCACCATTGTTTCTTGTCCTGCCCTCTGGTGCTTTGGAGAATAATTTGACCCCCTCTTCTTTGTGGCAGCCCCTCAAATACTGGAACACTGCTATCATGTCCCCCCTATTTCTTCTTTTCTTTAGACCGGCCAAACCCAAGTCCCGCAGCCGTTCTTCGTATGTTTTAGTCTCCAGGCCTTGGATCATCTTGGTTGCTCTTCTCTGAACTTTTTCCAAGGTCTCAACATCTTTTTCGTAGTTGTTTGCTCTTTGCTTATGAATAGACTAACCCAGTCTTTCTGAATGGATTACAGTCTCCTAAGGACTGGCCTCTTCATGTTTTTGCTTGAGACTTTTTCCTGTAGCAGGAAAACTGGGGCTGCTTTCTGCCTTTGTTAAGATTTTTTTTTCTCCATTCCTGCTTTAGGGGAAATATAATATTGTGCCTCTTTTTAATATTAAGAATAAAGAATATTTTAATCTGGGGTTCTCTTTTTCCTACATTAGTAGCACTGCTGTTAAGTGAATCTCATTTCCCCATTGACTTTGCTTCTCAGAATTTCGCAAAAGGAGATCACATGACCATAGGACACTGTGACCGTCATAAATATGAGTCAGTTGCCAGGCATCCAGTTTTGGTCACCACGACGTAAAAAAGATGTCTTCATCAATGATTTGGACGAGGGGATAGATGGGGAACTCATCAAATTTGCGGATGACACCAAGCTGGCAGGAATAGCCAACACTCCAGAAGACAGGCTTAGGATACAGAAGGACCTGGACAGACTTGAACACTGGGCGCTATCTAACAAAATGAAATTCAACGGTGGAAAAAGTGAGGTTCTACATTTAGGCAAGAAAAACCAAATGTACAGGTAAAGTATAGGGGGTACCTTGCTCAATAGTAGTAACTGTGAGAGGGACCTCGAAGTCCTAGTGGACAATCACTTAAATAGGAGCCAGCCGTGTGCTGCAGCTGCCAAAAAGGCCAACACAGTGCTGGGCTGCATTAACAGAGGGATAGAATCAGGATCACGTGAAGTGTTAATACCACTTTACAAGGCCTTGGTAAGGCCACACTTGGAATACTGCATCCAGTTTTGGTCACCACGATGTAAAAAAGATGCTGAGACTCTAGAAAGAGTACAGAGAAGAGCAACAAAGATGATTAGGGGACTGGAGGCTAAAACATATAAGGAACGGTTGCTGGAATTGGGTATGTCTAGTTTAACGAAGGGAAGGACGAGGGGGGACAGGATAGCAGTGCTCCAATATCTCAGGGGCTGCCCCAAAGAAGAGGGAGTCAAGCTATTCTCCAAAGCGCCTGAAGGCAGGACGAGAAGCAACTGATGGAAACTAATCAAGGAGAGAAGCAACCTAGAACTAAGAAACTTCCTGACAGTTAGAACAATTAACCAGTGGAACAACCTGCCTCCAGAAGCGCTGAATGCGCCAACACTGGAAGTTTTTAAGAAGAGACTGGACAGCCATTTGTCTGAAATGGGATAGGGTTTACTGCCTGAGCAGGGGGTTGGACTCGATGACCTCCAAGGTCCCTTCCAATTTTTATTTTTTTTATTATTATTATTATTATTATTATTATTATTATTATTATTATTATTATTACTCTAGAAAGAGTGCAGAGAAGAGCAACAAAGAGGATCAGGAGACTGGAGGCTAAAACATATAAGGAATGGTTGCTGGAATTGGGGATGTCCAGTTTAATGAAGAGAAGGACGAGGGGGGACATGATAGCAGGGTTCCAGTATCTCAGGGGCTGCCCCAAAGAGGGAGTCAAGCTATTCTGCAAAGCACGGGAAGGCAGGACAAGAAACTGACCAAAGAGAGAAGCAACCTAGAACTAAAGAGAAATTTTCTCACAGTAAGCACAAT